TTAAAATATCATGAGAATGAATGTGTGGTTGTCTGTCTTTCTGGTGCCCAGCACTTGCTGCTCTGCCCACCTGCTCTGTTCACAGCGAATACACAAGAGTGTGCTAAATGTTCCTGTTGGTCTCCTAACCAGTGAAATGAGACACAGACAGGTTGTATTATTTCCTATTGCACTGTAACATATTACCACTAACTAAGTGACTTAAAACCACACAAAATTTTCTCTCTTATGTTTCTGGAGTTTAGAAGTCCAAATGTGTCTTATGAGGCTAAAAATCAAGGAACTGGCAGGGCTGCGTTCTTTCTGGAGACTTCAGGAAAGACTCTGTTGCTTATCTTTTCCAGCTTCTAGAGGCTGCTATCATGCCTTGGTCCATGGCCCCTTCCAGGGCTGGTATCACTCTAGCCGCTGCTTCTGTCATCACATCTCCTCTTTCTCACCCGCCTGCCTACTTATGAGGACCTGTCCTCATTATACTATATTGGGCCCACCTGGTTAACTTAGGCTACTCCATCGAGATCTTTAACTTAGCCCCATCTGCAAAGCCTCTTTGGCATTGTAGCTTATTTACAGATTCTGGGGATTAGGACACGGACATGTTTGACGGCCATGACCCAGTCCATCAGAGAGGTGAAGTGACTAGTCCAAGATCACACAGTAGTAAGTGACAGAGTCCAGACTCTAACCCAGGCCTCTCTGGCAGCAGAGTCTGTGCTCCTCACCTTCTTTCACTGCCAGAATTAATGAGATGAGGGGTTTTAATTTGTTTTCCTTCAGATCCACATGCACTACCCATTGTTGGTCCGAGCCCCATCCCACCCCTGGGCCTGACTCCACAGCTCCCACCCTAATGCATTTGATACCCACTCCACCCATGCTTACATGGGGTCTCCGCAGCCTAAGCAGGAGGACCCCCCAGCTCTGCAGCCTACCTCCCACCAGTGTCTGTCTGCTGAGTGGGTCTCTGAGTGAGACCAAGACTGAGGACCAAGACTGCTGTCTCCAGCCCCCTCTCTCTACCTCCTGACCTGGCTTGAAGGTGCTCCCTACCTGGTAAGCCACTGAGGATGCCAGACTTCCAGCCCTGGACCCCTGCTTCTCCTGGTGGATGGTGGGTCCTTTCCAATCACTCAAACCCCAGAAAAAGACTGGCTCTCCCCAAGGAGAAGGGGCACAAAACCTGAGCACCTGGCCTGGAGATGGAGGACCTGAGGTCCCTCGGTCCCTCGGTCCCTCCTGCAGGTATGACACTTTGCCAGGAACTCCCAGAGATCAGTGCTTTTGGGCCCAAGGACCACAGTACCCTGGCCACCTGCGTGGCCTGTCTGGACTCAGCCCTCTGAATGAACTCTCCTTTCTGGGCCCACAGCCCACTCACTGCTGGCCTTCCCCTGGCCCCACCCCACACCTCTGCTTGATCTCTGTTCTTCTGAGAAGCACCTCTGCCCTCCCCGCCCAGAGTGTTCCCATCCCCATCCTGGGCCCGTGGCAGCATTTGCGAGTTGAAAATGCAATTACATTTTGATTATTCTAGTCCCAGCCAGACAGAGGTTACTGTAAGTCACACTGGAATTGGGAGGGAGGGGGAGGTAGCACCTGGGGGCAGTGCCCAGGCTGACACTTGAAGATGGATGTGACCGTGCCCTGTGGCTCAGAGGCTTAGGATTAGATCAACAAGGCTGGAGCTGGCTGGTTCCAGGAAAGAGGTCGCGTGGCCAAAGGTTGACTGACAGCTCGGGCAAAGCAAAGGCTTCAGGCTGGCCCTCCCTGGGAGGAGGAGGCATCAGGTTGCGAGCCCAGCCTGGAGATGAAGAATATGAGGTCCTGGGGCCCTCCTCTAGACACAGGTGGTTTGCCAGAAGCCAAGGTCTCCCAGAGGACTTCCCAGGGGGCACTAGTGGTAAAGAACCTGCCTGCCAATGCAGGAGACTTGGGTTTGATCTCTGGGTCAGGAAGATCCCCTGGAGGAGGGTATGGCAACCTACTCCTGTATTCTTGCCTGGAGAATCCCATGGACAGAGGAGCCTGACGGGCTACATACAGTCCATTGGGCTGCAAAGAGTCAGACACAAGTGACTTAGCATGCATGCCCAGAAGACAGTGCTGTTAGCTCAAGGACCAAACCACTGCAGCTCTTGGAGGGTCTCCTAGAGCATCAGTGGCCCCCTTGGGGCCCCAGAATTTTCTCTGAGCAAGACACCCGAGGGTCTCTACTCCATTCCCACAGAGGCCAAATAACTGGTCTATCTCTCCCACCCTCAAGCAGTGGCTTAGGGAGACAGACTCCAAGCTAGACAGACCTGGGGACCCAGAGCTTCCTCCCTGCCCAGGGTCTGGTAGGGGAGGAAGAAAGATCTGCTGCTTCAGGTTAGAAGAAATCACCCAGAATCCCTTGTTCTGGGGAGCAGCCACTTCTCGGGTCCCTGGGAATGAAAAGGGATACTTCTTAAGGGGAGATGGGACAGGCTCTGTGAAACTGGATATTGTGAGTGTGGGGGTGGATTCTCAGCCTGACTCTGCCCCACACAGACACGTGCACCCCCAACACAACGATACGGGGGACTTGGGAAGCTCCTTGTTCACTCCGACCCAGGGTTTCTGGCAGGCCCTGAATCATGGCATTCTGAGCTCTGCGCTGGGTTCTAAGCCGGGGCTGTGCAGCGCTCAGCAGTGGCCATCGCCCACACAGGCACAGAGAGGGCTGTCCCTTTCACATCACCACCTGTACCTTGTTTGCTGTGGCTGTCATATGAGTGTCCGCGCGCGATCTGCCTCCCATCCCCGCATGTGCCGCAGCCCACTCCCCAGCCCGTACCTAGCGGACAGTCACATCTCTAGATGGGCGGGGGACAGGGGGATTCACTTGGGAGATTAGATGAGTCATCGCTGAGGGGGCAGACTACCAAGTGCCATGCATGCGCACTCGCAGAGCCATGGACACAAAGGCTCACCACGCTCACATTCCCACACTCACAGGGTAATGGACTGGGAGGCCATGCTAGTCAAAGCTATAGTCACGCATCCAGACAAGCCGAGAGACAGACACCCCCAAGACACACACACACACACACACACACACACACACACACACACACACACATCCTTCTAGACACAGACATCAGTATGCATAGAGACAAATCAAGACACACATCATACAGACACATCCCACCCCGCGTGACTCCAGTCATCAACCCAGAGCCTGTCCCCTACCCACATGCATGCTCAGACACACACACACACACACACACACACACACACACAGCCACACACTGGATTCCCCAGACATGTAGTCACAACCCTTACTTCTAAATACAGACACTCAAACTCTCTCTCTCTTCCCCCTGCCCCCGCCCCAACACATACACACACACACACACATACACACACACACACACACACATCCTCTTATCCATTCCCTATGGCAGGCAGGCACCTCGGACATGCAGGGCAGAGCCTTGGAACCTCATGGATGCTCTGAACGATCACTTACTGTGCAGATGCCACCCAGGGACAGAGTGCTACGTAAGGACCAGCCTTGGTCCTCCCTCCTTCCCTGGACAGGTAAAGGAGGTCCCCGACCTGCTGCCAGCTTCCCTCCCACACCCTCTATGCCTAATGTGCATCTCTAGCTCCTTTGAAGAAAAGCCTTTGGCTGCAACAGGGAAGATGGAAGTTCCAGCTCAGGAATCCCCTCCCAGGAGGGAAGGAGTGTGCGTCTCTGAGGCTCAGAGAGTAGGGTGAATCTGACAGGTTAGGAAGGTCCTGTTCAGACATAGAGGATGGTCAAGGTGATGGCTCAATGCCTAGGAGGTCACCCTTCACCGGCTTGTGACTCCCGGAAGGCCCAACCGCCACACCTTTGTCCCTGTTGCTTCTTCTGCTTTGAATCCCCAGCCCCACCCCCACCGCAGGGCTTCTCATTAAGTCTCTACATCCCTGCTCTAGGAGACTGTACTGCTGTCCTGGTTGAATCAATCTGTCCTTCTGTGCCCCAGCAGCTCTGTCACACTGTAGAAGACTTGCCTGGCTGTGAGCCCACCTGCCTCCAGTCAGCCTGGGCACCTCTGTCTGCTGAAGGAGGAGGATGGATCTGGAGAACTGGGCAGGTTTGAATCCCAGCTCGGCCTCTGCTGTGTGACCCTGGACAAGTCACTGAATCACGTGAGGCCAGGGTCCTTATCTGTGCACTGGGGATGGTGAACAAATGCCTCACTGGGTTGATGTGATGATTAAATGGGATCGTGCATGGCGGGGACCTTGCAAGTGGCAGCGGTAATATTCTAGCTCATTGCCTGACACACAGCTGAGAAAATGTTTGTTGAATTCTTCAGCCCCTCTGCTCCCCTGCGTGCTGCCCCCGTGTATCCTCCCTATCTTGGGAGGGGTGAAGCAGTCATGAACAGAAAGGACTGGAGGGCAGATAGAATCAGAGGCTGGGAGGTGGGCGAGCAGGGTCTCTAGGCATCTCTGGGAGCTCGCTGCTCCAGCAACAGCTGGAGCCTGGCAGGAGACGGTGCAGGCGACGTTCTCTCACCCTGGTCACCCACCTGTGCCTTCATCCTCGTCAGCTAGGTGAGGCAGTGGGCAGAGGTGGAGCTGGGACCCACCTCCAGCACTGTGGCTCTCCGAAGCTGCCCGGGGTCCCGCCGGCACACAGTAGGTGCGCTCTGAATGCAGCGTAGGCGGAGGCAGGAATGTTGAATGCATGCGAATGTAATGAATGAACGGATGGACACATGAATGAAGGTGGGATGGACGCATGAAGTCGTGAGCTGGGAGGGACGAGCCTCTCCCTCCGCCCTCCGAGACTCGGGGGTTGGGAGACCTGCAGCCGAGACAGGCTGTGTCCCCCGCTCCCCGCGGCGCACAGCTCCGCGGAGCCCGCGCCCAGCCACAGCCCGCGTCGGAGCCGGCGCTCGCGCCCAGCTCGCAGCCCAGGAAGGGGGCTGCCCCAGCCTGGTGCCCGCCCCCAGCCCCGGGCCCCGGAGACCGGCCTTCCGGGAGGGGAGGCGAAGTCCCGTTGCACGATCGGGGGATCAGCAGCCGAGGACGCCCGGGTCCCAGAGCCAACAGGTGCAGGGCTTGGGGGACCCCTGGGCCCGGAGTGGGCGGTTCCAGAGGACCCTCGGCGGGAGCCAAGGGTCTCGAGAGCTGTGACCTGGGTGCTGGGAGGCTGGGTCCCCAGCAGGTTCTGCCCTCTTTCCGGCAGGTTCCTAAAGAACCCTTCGCGCCCTCGCTCCCCGGACCACCGCCCCACAGCCCCCGAAATGCAATGAGGTCCTGCTGGAGGAGCATGTCCGTCGGCGCCCGGTACGGATGTGAAAGAGACCCCTCATGCTCCCCCGGGGGTCTCCAGGGATCCGCAACCCTCCTACACACATCCGGGGTCGTCCAGGCTCAGTTTGGGGGGAGGAGGGGTCTGAGCGAGGGACGAGCAGCGGGGTGCGAGGCCGGATTTATGAATGAAGAGGGCGGACGGCGCGCCGGTCCAGCGACCCCTGGCGGCCGCCGGGGCTCATGGCGGCCGCGGGTTTCAAGGCGGGGACTATCTGGGGCCGGGGGTGCCCCGCTCAGCCCCTGGGCCTGGGGCTCTCCCCTCGCTTTCAGGGAGGTTGTCAGCTCCTCCCTGCACCTCCACCCACACCGTGTGTGGGGTGGGTGTGCCCACCTGGGAGAGTCTGACAGGTCTGGTGGGCGGGGCCTGGGTCTCTGAAAGCCTCCCTTGATCATTTTTTTTACAACCCCCCAGTTCAGGCCCGTGAACTGACTCAGGAGAGAAGGTGTTTGCAACCAGGATGGCTTCTGCTTCTTAAGCTGTGGTGTTTGGTGGACTCAGACAGACCTTAGTGGCCTTGTGACCTTGAGCAAGGGGCTCAACCTGTCTGAGCTTCTGTCTCCTCTGCAAAGCGGAGCTCTTAATAGCGGTAACCCGCAATGGCCAGGAAGCCAGCCAGTTTCTGGGTAAAACCTTTGGCGTTCATTAGAGCTGATTTCTCCTCACTGGCCCTGTGAGGCAGATTCAGTTATTACTCTACGAGATAGATGGGGAAACCGAGGCTGAGAGGTAAGTTGGCCAACTGGTATGGAATGGGGATGCAAGGCTTTCTCCAACCATTTCAGGCTCATCCTAACCCATATGATTGTGAGAATTAAGAGAGAGCTTATCTGCACGTAACCCAGCACACTCCCTAATGTTCCCTTTCTTTCTTCCTTCCTTCAGAAGGTTTGGGGCTGGGACCCTAAACACCTGAGTGCAAGACTGGGCCCCCCCGCTCCGAGGGAAGTGGGCTGAGGCCTGGCCCAGGTGCACCCCTCCCTGGGGAGAGCCTGGGATGCCCATCAGCCATAGTGGCTCCTGAGCTCATGGAGCCCTCAGCCACCCCAGGGCCCCAGATGGGGGTCCCCACTGAGGGCAGGGAACGGTCCTCGGAGCCTCCAGACTACGAAGATGAGTTTCTCCGCTATCTGTGGCGTGATTATCTGTACCCGAAGCAGTACGAGTGGGTCCTCATCGCAGCCTATGTGGCTGTGTTCTTCGTAGCCCTGGTGGGCAACACGCTGGGTAGGTCTCTGGGGGTGCCGCGGGATCCCCCTAGGGACTGGGAGGGGTCCTGGGCTTCACTTTTCTCCCCAGTCCCTACCGGGTAGTGTGGGGGAAGGGTCTCACTGATGGGGCCCAGCTAGACTGGGCGTGGCTCTGCCTCCAGCCTCACCTCTCCCCCCTGCCCACGCTGCAGTGTGCCTGGCCGTGTGGCGGAACCACCACATGAGGACGGTCACCAACTACTTTATCGTCAACCTGTCCCTGGCCGACGTGCTGGTGACGGCCATCTGCCTGCCGGCCAGCTTGCTAGTAGACATCACTGAGTCCTGGCTCTTTGGCCGTGCCCTCTGCAAGGTCATCCCCTATCTGCAGGTGAGCTCCGCCCGGCTGACCCTCAGGACCCTTCTGACACACCAGGCCCAGCCAGCACGGCCTTGCGCAGCTCTCAGGGACCCCGAGTCTTGACCTTCTGACGCTGGCTCAGGGCCTCGACAGTGTCATGCTCTGCCGTCAGCGCGAGCCGGCCACCAGGCCCGACGCTTAAGGAAACAGACACAGCCCCACGTGCTGATGCAGAGATCCCCTCCAGGTCGCACCCGCAGACATGCACACAGTCGTTTGGGGACACGTGTGCAGTCACCTCCAGGCACTCAGGCACACCAAGGAGGAGCCAGGCACGAGCCTGCTGAGACAGAGCGCTGGGCTGCTCCCTGATCCAGGGGAGGGCAGATATGAGGGGGCCTGCTGGAGAGAGTGCCCTCCCCTCCCTCCCCGCCCACCGCTGGCCAGGGCCTTCCCTTTCCCAGTGGTGGGAATCAGGACACCCCATGGGGTTGGCGGGGTGGAAGGAGGACTGGCCAGAGGCCAGGGTTTCATCGCTTGCCCCACCTCCCTATACCCCAGAGGGCAGGGGGCACTCGTGGAGCCAGTGCCCACCTGCATCTCTGGCCTTGGCCTTGGTTCATCTCTGCCTCCCAGAATGAGGACTCTTTCCCCTTACAGCCTGGGAAAGGGATGGAATCCCAGGGCAGAGAGAATGCCTCTTGGTTTTCCCATTATATTGAGGTTTTCCACTCAACTGATTAACTCCGGCCACCCTGAAAATAAAGATAGGCAGGTGAGGAAATTCACCCAAGGCAAGTTATTTAACATTTCTGTTCTTCAGTTTCCTCATCTGTACCTTGGAGGTAAGAGTACTCAGCTCACGAGTCATTGTGAGGATCCTGAGAACAGTGTCTGGCACGTAGTTATTTTGAAAAGTGTAAGTTATTACACCTGCTATGTGCCAGGTCTCAGACTGGATGTTCTCCACCCATAATTTCATTTATTCTAAAAAGAATCCTGCCAGGAGGATGATATAGTCTCATTCTGCAGATGAGGCTCAGAGAGGGTAAGTGATTTGATCAAATCTACCCTGGCAGTAAGGCTTCCCTTGTGGTTCAGACAGCGAAGAATCTGCCTGTAATGAGGGAGACCTGGGTTCGATCCCTGGGCTGGGAAGATCCCCTGGGGGAGGGCACGGCATTCTCTGGAGTATTATTGCCGTGGAGAATCCCATGGACAGAGGAGCCTGGCAGGCCACGGTCTGTGGGATCACAAAGAGTCGGACATGACTAAGTACCTAGGCATAGCACAGCACCCAGGCAGTAAGTGGTGGAGTCAGGATCTGCACTGCACCTGGCTGCCTGGTATTTCTGGGCTGTGAGCTCCATCACTCACCCCATGTCCCCGGGTGGCCCCCAAAAGGACTGACATTGTGTCCCCATGGGGCAGGCCGTGTCTGTGTCTGTGGCAGTGCTGACCCTCAGCTTCATCGCCTTGGACCGCTGGTATGCCATCTGCCACCCTCTGCTGTTCAAGAGTACTGCCCGGCGTGCCCGGGGCTCCATCCTGGGTATCTGGGCTGTGTCGCTGGCTGTCATGGTGCCCCAGGCTGCGGTCATGGAGTGCAGCAGTGTGCTGCCAGAGCTAGCCAACCGCACCCGGCTCTTCTCCGTCTGTGATGAACGCTGGGCTGGTAAGAGCGGGAGCCTTGGGAGGGCACCTGAGGTGGGCACCTCTGGGATATATACCCAGTGGTAGACATCTCTCAGGGCACTTTTGCAGTGGGCACCCCGGGGTCTCTCGGGAGGACACTCTAGAGCAGGTATCTACCAGGGTTGCCTCCAGGGTGGGTACCTCCTCTAAGGTAGACAGCTGTGCCAGGGTTCCTCTGGGATGGACACACCCATGGGCTGAGTAACTCCAGGGTCTCTCTGCCAGGGCTCCTGCATGGGGCCGGGCTTTGGCTCTAGTTGGGGCAGGGTGGTATTGCTAAGCGGGGCCGGCTGGGGGCCCAACCCTTGCATCTCTTGGCCCCTGCAGACGATCTCTATCCCAAGATCTACCACAGCTGCTTCTTCATTGTCACCTACCTGGCGCCACTGAGCCTCATGGCCATGGCCTATTTCCAGATCTTCCGCAAGCTCTGGGGCCGCCAGGTGAGGCCCTCTCTGGTGTCACTGTCTGGGCTGGGAGGGCAAAAGGGTCCTCATCTGAGGGAGTACACAGTCCTCTGCCTTCAGAACATGCCGTTCTGGCTGCAACCAGAGAGGCAAGGCCCAGGGACAAACTCCAGGCCAGAAGTGCCAGTGCCGGCCCTGGAACCAAGGAGTAATTGATACTGTTCAAATAGTGGTAGCTGCCTGCCACTGTCCTAGTCTCAGTAGTTATCATACCGGGCACTCCCAGCCAGTCTTGTATCCTCTCCACCACCAAACATTATCCCCAACTCCATATAGGAGAGAACTGAGACCCAGAGAGGCAAAGCAACTTCTCCCAAATCCTTCACAGTGAGTGGAAGGTCAGGGACTAAAACCCAACGATAACTGTACCTCTGTGCTGCTTCCCAGTTAGGCACTTGGCTTGCAGTGTCTTCTTAGCGATTAATATTTAACCGAAGAAGCAATATTACCCACAATACAAACACTGAGTAAGGCACAGCCAATGAGTAACAGCCCTCCTGGTTCCAGAGCCTTCCTTCTCTCCTCTATTACAAACTGACTGACAGCAAGTTCCACGGGGTGGGGGGTGGGGGTGGCGTTTGCCAAGGGAGGGGGTGCTCTGTGGCCCTTGGCACTTGTGGAGGTGAGTCCTGGATCAGTGCCTGGACAGGGAGAGGATGCCGGCCAGGACATGAGCAGCCTTGTGGTCCACCAACACTTGACATCTGCTCCTCACAGTCCCCTGGTCAAGATGGCAGGAGTCGCTATCCTCACCAACAGGAAAAAGTGTGGAGTGAGGGAAAGTCACTCGGTTGTGTTCAACTCTCTGCGACCCCATGGACTGTACAGTCCGTGGAATTCTCAAGACCAGAATACTGGAGTGGGTAGTCTTTCCCTTCTCCAGTTCTGATATAGATTCTCAAACATTGTGCAAAGTGAAAGTCGCTCAGTTGTGTCCGACCAACAGGAAAAACCAAGGCTCAGAAAAGAAAAGTGAGTCACATACCAAGGTCACATAGCTCACGGATGGCTCAGCTGGCCCTAGACCCCCAAGTTTCCTGAACTCTAGCCCCATGCCCTTCTGTTGTAGGGTGATTCAGGTGTCCAGTGTGGGAGAGGCTGTGAAGGTATCTGTGCTGCTCCAGGAGCCCAGAACCATCACAGGCCTGCAGGCAGCGACCTAGGGTGGGACCTGTGCTCTGAGGCCCAGGCCATTCCATGCTGCCCACCTGTTCATCCCTTGCTCGGGCCGCCTGGAGTCAGGCATGGGCCAGAGGGTGATACAACTCACCACTAAGGAAGATGGATGGGTAGCTAGGAGGATGTTCAGGCCCTAGGCTGTGACCTAGGGACTTCTTGAGGGTCCCCTACCTCATCTATAACTAAAGGCCAATAATATGTCCCCAAGAGGCATATTGTGGGAGGTCTCACAATGAGCTAATGGAAAAATGGAAGTATACTCAGCCCAGAACATTGGTCTTTATGAGTATTAGTTCCTTCCTACTGCAAGGGTTTGTTCCCTTGCTCACCTCTGCCCTGCCCCAGAGTCCAGCCCAGCAAACAGAACACCCCTCCCAAGGGGCTGTACCCACAACTGCCGTCTGTGTGCTGGACAGATCCCTGGCACCACGTCAGCCCTGGTCAGGAACTGGAAGCGGCCCTCAGTCCAGCTGGAGGACCAGGGGCGAGGCCTGGGTGCAGAGCCCCAGCCTCGGGCCCGCGCCTTCCTGGCCGAGGTGAAGCAGATGCGAGCTCGGAGGAAGACAGCCAAGATGCTGATGGTGGTGCTGCTGGTCTTTGCCCTCTGCTACCTGCCCATCAGTGTCCTCAACGTCCTCAAGAGGTGAGAACACGTGGGGAGCGGTTGGGGGTGGGGAGAGGTGGTGGAGTCAGAGAAAGGAGCTTTCTCAGTTTTAGAGAAAAACTAGCCCACCGCTCATTCACTGTGTGAACTTGGGGCAGTTGTTTCTCTTCTTGAGCCTCAATCTCCTCATCTGTAAAATGGGAAGAACACCCCGCCTGCCTCCCAAGGCTATCGTGAAAATCCTCTCATCTATTCACTCAGTCATCAGATGGCAGGGGCTGGGAACAGAATGAACAAGTGCAGGGGACAACGTCCTGCCTTCGTGGAGGTGACATCTGGTGGGAGAGAGAATGGACATATTAATATATTACAATGTCAGCCAGCGATAACTGCTAGGAAGAAAAAAATAGGGAAAGGGGATAGAAAGTGACAATGGCTGAGATTGGTGGGGTTTTTTTTTTAAATCTTTTTTTTTTAAGATGTAATGGTTTTTTAAAAAGGCCTGAGAAAGTGACATTTGGCAGAGACTTGAAGGGAGGGACCACGCCCACGGGTGTCTGGAAGATCAGAGGCGCTGTGGTGGGGTGGGGGTGGGGAGGGCAAAACACTGGGCTGTTTGCCACAATGTGAGACAATCTGAGTGTGAGTTTGTGCTTGGCCACTTCCTGGCTGTGTGATCTTGGGCACATCACTTTTCTTCTCTGAATCTGTCCTCTATTTGAAAATCGGATGATGTCTATGACTCATCATGCTGCTGTGAAGACAGATGATAAAGGGGAATGGGAGCCCAGGGGGTCAGCCAGCCAGTGACTGAGCGGAGGTACCCTGGCCTCTGCCCCCAGGCCCACTCTGGTCATACTCTCTGTGCTCAAGAACCCCAAACTGTGGTCAGGATCCCAGACCCAGAGGCCCAGGAAAAGGCCCTCTGGTGAAGAGAAGGGACCGTGGGACTCCTGTACTTTACAGCCATTCATGAGCTGCGTGACCTTGGTCAACTCACTTTCCTTTTCTGAGTTCTGGTTTTCCTGTATGCTAGATGAGGATGGTGACTCCTGCCCAACAGAAACACACACACACACACACACCATTTCTGAGTGTCCTGCCTCCCGGTCCTAGGGTGTTCGGGATGTTCCGCCAAGCCAGCGACCGAGAAGCTGTCTATGCCTGTTTCACTTTCTCCCATTGGCTGGTGTATGCCAACAGCGCTGCCAACCCCATCATCTACAACTTCCTCAGTGGTGAGTGGACTGGAGACGCAGAGTAACAGAGGGTGGCAACAGTCCCCAGGACAGCAGTCTCCGCATCTCCAATCCAGGCTGAATAAAGCCTGAGGATACACCTGCTCCCTCCTGGGGACAGTGACCCTGCTCTGCGCACTCCCACTCAGGGGGATCACCTGGCCCCGCCCAGGAGTCCTGGTTTGAATGGGAGACAGGCTACACTCCCAATAGTAGCTGAAGAAGGCGACCAGCACCTGGATCCAGTTTTGCAGATGACGCAGACCAGTGGGTGGGCGGGAGGTCAGGGGTGGGCCAGCTCAACTCCACCCCTGCCTGACACATGCAGAGCAGGACCACCGATCAGCCAGCCTGGTCGACACAGGCTCCAGATGGAGCCCCAGTCTGAAGAGGTGACTGCATAATCAAGGCATGGGAGGAAGGGAGGGCCACCAGCAGAGGCAGCCCAGAGCCAGGCCCAGCTAAACACAGACTGGCAGTATGGCCAGGATCTGGGGGAGCTACCCCTGGATCCACCTGCCTCCAGCACCAGCCCTGTCCCTCTCCAGGCATCTGTGGTCCCTTCTCCCTGCAGGTCTCCCCTCCCAGCTGTCCCACAGCCCCCACCTCCTTCCACTACCTCCCGGCCTCAGGGCGGAAAGGCCCCACCCCCGGCCCCCGCCTGGGCTCAGCAGAGTGTGACTCACCAGACCTCTGACTTGGACCAGGCCTGAGGACCAGATGACTCTTCAAGCCTGGACGCAAACGACTTTTGCGAAAAAGTTGAAAAGTTAAAGGGGCCAGGGTCAATATTTTACCCTTCAGTGAGACTAAAGAATTACTTAACAAAGGCTAGCCAGTGGTTCGGAGAGACAAACTGGCACCCCACTCCAGTACTCCTGCCTGGTAAATCCCATGGACGGAGGAGCCTGGTAGGCTGCAGTCCATGGGGTCGCTAAGAGTCGGACACGACTGAGCGACTTCACTTTCACTTTTCACTTTCGTGCACTGGAGAAGGAAATGGCAACCCACTCCAGTATTCTTGCCTGGGAGCGACTTCACTTTCACTTTTCACTTTCGTGCACTGGAGAAGGAAATGGCAACCCACTCCAGTAATCTTGCCTGGAGACTCCCAGGGACAGAGGAGCCTGGTGGGATGCTGTCTATGGGGTCGCACAGAGTCAGACACGACCAAAGTGACTTAGCAGCAGCAGCAGCCAGTGGTTTCCGGCTCAGAGAACAGAGATGAGCACCTGATGGAGAGCATTCCTTCATTTGCTCTACATTTACTGAGCGCCTACTCTGTGCTGGGGGCTTCCCTGGTAGCTCAGATGGTAAAAAAAAAAAAAATATGCCTACGATGCAGGAGACCTGGGTTCAATCCCTGCTGGGGCGATCCCCTGGAGGAGGGCATGGCAACCCACTCCGTTATTCTTGCCTGGAGAATCCCCATGGACAGAGGAGTCTGGCGGGCTACAATCTGTGGGGTCGCAGAGAGTCGGACACAGCTGAGCGACTAAGCACAGCGCTGTGTGCTCAGCCCTCTGCTGGGCACCAGCGTGGCTCGCCAGTGATGAAACGTGGTTGTTCAGTTACAGCACAGTCTATTGCCTGGGGTCCTCTGGCTGAACAGGTGGCCGTGGTGGTCCCTCCTTCCCCACTGTCCCCCCACACCCCTCAACTTTAACCAAGGGCTTTAGAATTAGAATGGGGTCCAAATTCTGCGTGGTGACAGGCCACTGGACCTGTGTGTCTCATTGGTGGAGTGAGGAAATGAAGGACTCGGGCCCCTCGGGGTGCTGGGGTGAGCTGGACGACAAGCTCAGGCACCCAGCACAGTGCCTCGTGCAAGGGCCACCGCCGCGGTCATCTTCACCACCACGGGGCAGAGGTGGGCAAAGCCTAGCTGCAGATGGTGAGCCCTGAGCCCCTCCACCTACATGCCGGCCAGGGTGGTGGCCTGAGGTCCCTGAGCCAGACGCCACGTCTTGAGCCAGGCTCAGAGCCAGGGCGCAGTCAAGGAATCAGATGAAAATTGCATTTCTCCTTGGGAATCTGCTCCAGGGCCTATCCTCACTCTCCCTGGCAGGGGCCGAGGTCGCCTTGGGGCTCTCTCTTGCCCAGGGCTACCCTTCCTTCCCACCCCCATCAGAGGCAGCTTGGCTGGAACTATGTCGGTGTTTCTGGGCTGAAGGCCACCTCTGTCTGCTTATGGCTGTGTCCTCTGTCTCTCAACCAAGGCAAATTCCGGGAGCAGTTTAAGGCCGCCTTCTCCTGCTGCCTGCCCGGCCTGGGTCCCTGCGCCTCTCTGAAGGCCCCCAGCCCTCGCTCCTCTGCCAGCCACAAGTCCTTGTCCTTGCAGAGCCGGTGCTCCGTCTCCAAAGTCTCGGAGCACGTGCTGCTCACCAGCGTCACCACGGTGCTGCCCTGAGTGAGGGTCGTGCTGGTGGCTCTGGGGGGAAGGGGGGGTGCAACCTGTCCTCTGCCTGGGCTGCTCCTCTGGCTCCTGGGGGGCCCACCCCCACACCTTGTGGAAAGACTGCTGGTTGCAGTGTGAGGCCGCCCGGGGCTCCACTCCTGGTTTGCTGCCTGTTTGCCTCCAGGCAATGTCACTTCCCTTCTCTCAACTGTGTCCCCTATGAGGGACGGATATGAGGATTAAGCATGTTCAGGATAAGTGGAAAGCTCTCTGTAAACTGCAAAGCATTACAGACAAGATTATCGTCTCGCTCCTCTCACTTGGCCATACCCCATGGTACCATCCATCGCCATCATCCTTCCAGAGCTTGGCCTGACTCCCAAAGACCTTCTCCTACCCAATTACAGGTCTTCCCTGGAGTCTGCTTTAAGGGTCCCAACAGGCATTTCCATCTGGTCCAGGAGCTCCCTAAAGCCCAGACTGCACTTGGCAGCCGCTCCTTGAGGCCCATGTGAACTAATCTGAGCCCAGCCCCTCTCTGGTGGGAAAACAGCCTCCCACCCCCCACCAGGTGCCAAGTGCACACTCCGCAGACTGGACCCCGCTGATTGCGTGGTGTCATATAACACTCTCCATGTGGCCGTTTGGCAGGGAGGCTAGCAGTCTGAAGCAACTCTCATTAAAAGCCTGGCACTGACTGTTCCCTTTCCTTGTCATTGCACAAAATCTGGGCTTCTTAGGTTAGGAGGGAGAAGGTAGGCAGTGAGAAGCTGGGGAGGCTGGGGGAGGTGAGGGGGGTAGTCAAGGCAGCGCCTGAAGGCAGCTTTCTGCTGACCCCTCCCGCATCTTCCCCCCGACACACTGGATCCCAGATGATTCCTGGCCAGGCCTGAGTTCACAGGCTGCTGCCCCCTCATGCGGCACCGATCCTGGTGCCAGGACCTCAGTCGTGACCACATCTGTCAGCTCCTGGGCCCAGGAGCCTGTGGAAGGTAGGGGGTGGGCAGGTGGGCAGACAGCAGGGTTAACTGGTTTACTGTTATCTTCACTTTCTTGGAGATCAGGGCTTGCATTTCTTTTCTGTGAACTCACCGAATAAAAAGAGAAAGCCAGGGACTGGGCTCGACAGGCTCCATCTGCTACCAGATGATTAGAGGGCGGCTGGAGGCCCTGATCCTCACGGCCGGAGCAGGAGGTGGGACGCCGTCTGAAGGGCTCTCTGCTGGGAGGAGCAGTAGACAGCTGGCAGAGGCTGGCTCGGCCTGTGCGCTGCTGGCTCTGCTTAACCTGATTAACGACCTCGCCCGTCAGAAAATGGGGCAAAATGCAGCTCCTGCCAGGACCCAGCCCAGGACGCGCCAGCACCCATCCTCGTGGGCAGAGCAGGTGGAGGGAGTGGTCTGTGCCTGGCATCTCACCCTCCAGAGGACTGTCAGCCCAGCTCCTGTGAGTGGTTGCCAGGCAGGATGTGGGGTGTCCCACCCATTCTCCACTCTCCTCCCTCATGCCTTGGGATCCAAAGTTGTTTGTCAAGTTTGTAGCCAGGCTTGGAGGGGCGGTGTGGTAGACTGAGGTGTGAGGGCTGGCCCCCAAGTCTAGAACCAAGCATGACCGTAAGGAAGCAGCCAGGTCCTGGGCTCCTCAGTCCCAGCTGAGCGTGAGGGTGCCAGCACATGACTGGCACTGTTCTACATGTGGGTTTCAGTAGACACGTGGCTGGGTGGAGCAAAGAAACAACAGAAGCTTCCCCTAATGTCTGCATTTCTACCCGACTCTCTGCTGTTTGAGCCCAGCACCGTGGTAGGCCTCAGGCCTCCGTTTTGGGGGCCTCGGATAATTCAGAGGTCACCTGGGATGAAGCTCAGTGAAAAGCTTCTGAGGAGCCCAGGGCTATGTGACCTAGGGAAGGGAGGCCCGGGGGAAATGCAGTGACAGGTTTCAGCTACCTAGGGGGCTGGCGTGCTGAGAGGGTGAAACAGGTTCTGGGTGGCCTGAGAGAGAAAACCACAGCCAATGAGTGATATTTCCAAGGTGGCAGGATGTGGGATCCACTTCAGGGAGAAGCCCCTATTAGTCAAGGAGGAAACGGGCTGCCCAGAAAGGCACTGAATTGTCACTGGAGGTTGGCAAGCAGAGGCCAGACTGAAGGTGGAGTAAATGGAGGGGGTTCTAGCTCCAGATGGGGACTGGCCTCTGGGAACTGGACTCCATCTAACTCGAGGATTCTAGCACAACAGCAGCCAGAGGAGAATGGGGCTGAACTGGCTCAGCCTGACACACCTGCTGGCCTCACTGAGCCACTTCCCCAGCCAAGCATGGAGGACAGCCTGGCTTGCTTATCTTCACCCCCCAGAGTGAAAGGATTAGCTTGCCACTACCCATCATCAAGTCTCCCCGGCAAGCCAGAATGTCTGGTGTCTTGGCTTTTGATTGAGATTTTGTCAGATCACTATAGACATTTGGCGTAGGCTGATTATCATGCTGAAGATCCAGCTGGTAAGTACAGATGTTTGTGCTTAATAAAAATGGGGGGAAAGTTATGACTTCATAAATGCAGTTTGTCTGGAAGATAAAACCAGGTCTTGAGATGATAAAAGGCCATGCTGTGAGAAGTCTGGGGTGGTGGCTTCTAGCCCGGAATGCCAGCCCAAAAACTGTTATAAAACACACAGTCAGCCCCTTGGACTGAACCGGGCAGGCCCCGACAATGAACTTCACCCAGGTATGTGACAGCAGCCCCCCGAAGGCCATGCCTGTTGAGCTGTTTCTTTCTGCATAGCGTGGTACATAGCAGGGGTCCCCAAGCTCCAGGATCTAATGCCTGATGATCTGAGGTGCAGCTGATGGAATCATATTAAGAAAGTGAAAGCGAAGTCACTCAGTCGTGTCCGACTCTTTGAGACCCTGTAGACTGTAGCCTACCAGGCTCCTCTGTCCATGGGATTCTCCAGGCAAGAATACTGGAGTGGACTGCCATTTCCTACTCTAGGGAATCTTCCCAACTGAAGGATTGAACCCGGGTCTCCTGCATTGCAGACAGATGCTTTACCCTATGAACCACCAGGGAAACCCAATAATAATAAAGTGCACAATAAATGTAATGCACTTTAATTGTCCTGAAACTATTTCCTCCCCACTCCCCCATCCGTGAGAAAATTGTCTTCCATGAGACCAGTGTCTGGTGCCAAAAAGGCTGGAGACCACTGGATATAATATGTACTTAAATATTCGTTGAATGAAGTAAATGAGTGACTAAATGGATACACACGTGGACCTTTAACTGCGAAAGTGTGGTGAAAAACATGGAACTCCAGAATTTTATTCTTATATTGAAGCTTATGGTGTCATGAGCTTTTTGGCCCCAAATAAAAAAAAAACACACAAATTAAATAAAGCATTGGCAGTGGGAAGTGGCAACTTGTTCCCTGGAGACTGAAGCCAAGCAGAAGACGCAGGCAAGTGAGGGGTCCGAGCTGCCTGGCCAAAGATGCCCAGAGAGCAGACGGCCCAAGTTCCCTGAGCAGGAACAACCCCTGGGCAGCTAGAAGTCAACCACACACGGCCTTGTGGGGGTGGAATCCAAGCCACTGGTCCCATGGGCAGATCTCTCACCCCTACCCTGGTCAGATACTGCTTTGGAGAAATGGGGTTCATTTGACAAGACAGCACAGGTGAGGGAATGCAGGTGCTAATGCTAAGAGGCTGACGAATACTTACCACTGGCATCAGGGCACAGAAGGAAAGGCTAGAGGCTGGAGCCAGCCAACTGGACACTAACGGCTGTGACTCGCATCTCTCGCAACTGGCGCAAGGATGTGCCATTTAAATGCTCAGGGATATAAGGACATTCAACTTGCAGTCCTTGGTCAGGCCCTACCTGTGTGGCCTCAGCTGAGGCCCCCGCTACTTGGTGGCCATGACACAGACTCCCAGCACTCTTTGGGAACACTGCTGCATCATGCAAGGGAGAATTCTTTTTCTAGGAGGGGCAGGAAAGGAAGAGAGGACCACATGCTTCTCCCACCCTAGAAGCCAGGAAATGTCGTCAACTGGCGCGCTCCCCACTCTGCGGGTGGGCTGGTCATAGCATCCGAGAGGCTGTCATGGTGACGAAGTCCTCGAAGCTGAGCCGAATGCTGCCCTGCACAGCTGTGTCCTTCTCCCGGAAGGCCTCGGTCAGCACCTGCAGCTGGGTGCACACCTGGATGAAGCGATCCAGCTGCATGGCGGGATTGGCGGAGCGCGGGCAGTAGCGGGAGACCAGGAGCTGGGTGAACTGGGGGCTCAGGTTGTAGCCCATCTGGGACAGAGCTGGAGAGGAGGGGCACACAGATCAGACACAAAAGCCTGCTGTGAGCACTGCCATCGACCAGCTCCACAGAGCACCGCAGTTCAGGAACTTCAAGGGGACTGGCACCAAAGCGGAAACGGGATAGACATCCGAGATGGCAGGAGCACAGCAGGAGCCCTGGGTGCTCCCCGGAGCTGGAAGGCCCCCATCGCTTGCTCTCAAGGTCTCTACTGTCTGTTTAATTAGGGGCCCGCAGGATCCCAGAATGACACCAGTCTGTACATGCTCATCTCTGATATGTCTGTATTACAGATGGAAGCCTGAGCCCCCTTGGGCCATCCTGCCCCAAGCTGACAGACATCAGAGGCAGTTCAGCTGAGGCTATGAGGGCCTGCTCTGGAGTTGAGATAGCCCCTCTGCAAGCAGTTTATTAACCTTGCTAATCCTCTGTCTTACCATCTCTAAAATGGGGTAATACTTACCTTGTAGGTTCTAGTAAGAATTAAAGGAGGTGATCATGCAAAGGACTTGGCATAGTGCCTGGCATATAATAAACACTCAAGGTAAGTGTTATTTGTTAAAAGTAATAAAATCATCCCATCTCCCCCAGGTGAGGCTGCAGGGCAGTTCTAAGGTCGCAGCCTCCACACTGCTACCCACATCCCCCCATCCCAGCTGAGATGCTCCCTTCCTCCTCTCGGTATAATCTACCCCCTCAGGCTACTATCTCAGCTCCCCTTTTGCCATGTGGCCCTTGGGCAAGTTTTCTAGACTAGGCCTCAGTTTGCTCATCTGTAAAAGGGTAATAATAAGAGATCCTTCATCTAAGGGTGGGGAATAAGAAACAGTACCTATCACATGTGGAGACAGAATGATGTAACATAGGAGAAAAACTTATTCCAGTGCCTGGCCCATAGCAAAGATTCAATAAGTACTAGCTTTCCTGTGATGATATCACCCTTACAAACATCCATCACTGGATCATCACTCAACAGGGTAGGTGCTCAGGACAAATCTCCTCCTTTCTCTTCTATCAGGGAGCTCCCTTCTCCCCCTGCATCCAAGCTCCTCAGTCTGACTGAAATCCATGGCCAGGGCAATGAGCTGGGTGCTCTGGGGAATGCTTTTTCCCTCTTAGCTGGGAAAGCTCCCTGTCCAGTTCTCATCAACCACACTAACCAACTGTCCTCTAGAGTCAGACGTGGAACCAGACCTGGAGCTGGGACCTCACGCCACCTTACCCAACTACAACGTTTAGAGTACTCTGGGAAGGAAACTGCCTTCCACCAGAGCCAGCGACAGAAGCCATCTTTCTGAGCCCCTCTACAGGGCTCCTTCCATTCTGCACGCTAGAAACTCAAGAGGCAAGAGCCACACAAGCCACACGTACCAGCCTTAAGGTGCCCTGGGCTGCTGCGTTTCCATCCCCAAGGCTCCCTGCCGGCTGGATCTGTCTGACCCAGCACTGCGAGGAGTTTCATTGTCAGAGTCCAGCCCTGCTCATGTCCTTGCCCGGGATTTGGCTCACTGTCCAGCCAGGTCACAGACGGGCTGGGGAGGGGGCCTGTGCTGAGGGCAGCGTTCTGTAGTGCAGTGGGACACGAGGTGGCCGGAAGGCAGAGAGCACCCCCTGCTCCGTCCTAGGGAGTAACGAGCAAGGTCCGCTGTGCCTGTGCACCGAGTCCCTGCCAGGCCCTACCTTGCTGCAGCTCTGTGTAGCTAATGGAGCCCGAGCAGTCCCGGTCATACTGCTGGAAGAGGTTCTTCCACTGCTGGATGAACTTCCACAGGGCGGAGAAACCGTAGACGTCGATGCGGCCTGACTTGGTCTTGTCAAACATGTCTTGCGAGGGAAGGGAAGGAAGGCATCAAGATTAAGGATCCAGGGTCCTCAGGTACCACTCAGGTAGCTCGTCCCCGCCAGGCTGGAGTAGGAGACTCCAGAGAACCACAGGCCTGAGGCCCAGATACCGGCACCCAAGATGCACCCTCATCAAGCACTATACCAGCCCCACCCCTGCCAGAACTGCATCGTCTCCACAGGCTTGGTGGCTGACCCCCTCCCTGCCATCACCCACCAGGACAAGCAGTCCCATCCTGCAGAACGAGAAACCGATCTGGCCTGTGACTCAGCCAGGTCCAGAACTTGAGAAAAGACCTAAGGAAAAGAGCTCTCAGTTTAAAGGCTATCTCATCGTGAACCCAGTTTCCTGCCTGAAATCCTCCCTGGCCGAAAGAATTCTCCTCAGAACGGCCTTCCATTTGCCTCCTGCCAGACAGGAGGGGGCTCGACCCATGCTTGAGCCCATGGGGAAGGGCTAGGACTCACTTATCATCATAAGGCATGTCTCGTCATTGAACGAGGACCAGTTGGAGTTGACCAGGGCTTGCTTCAGCTCCTTGATGGAGATGTAGCCGCTGTGATCAGAGTCCACTGACTGGAACCAGGAGTAAGCCTCGGGATCCACATTGGGAGGGATGCCACCTGCAGGAAGGGGTGCCAACCAGGACAGTCAGATGCAGGTCTCAAGACCAATCTGCAGAAATGCCGGGAAGGGCCAGCCTCAGCACCTCCCTGGCTACAGGTTTTCCCTACTCCGAAAGCCTCACAGGTCTGTCTGCCCCCTCCCTGTCTTCCATCAAGACAACACCCCTCCTCTAGTGGAAGAGGACCCTCTGTGTAAACGTGTTAAATCTTACTCCACAAACCCTTCAGGCTTTTCCTATAATGCTCCAGCCACTCCCCTATTTGATTCTAAGTTTCTAAGAAACAGGGACTTGCCTGTCAGATTAAGAATCCTCTGAGAAGGGGGATCATCTCTTCCCTCCCAGACTAGGGACCCAAAACTGTTGGCTGAGCACCTAACACGCATAGCCCAGAGACAAGCATCCTGAGCATCAGGCAGCAGGGAGCACGCAGTGGTGGGAACCAGGTCTGGTCCATCTCTGACTGCCCTGGCACCACAAGAGCAGGCATATCCTATCCGGACCTACCAGAGTGTGGGTGGCCATGGAGCTCCATTGTTCTTCCCTCCCCGTCGCCTCCAATGGTCCTCAGCTCCAAACCTCCCCCACGGACATCTCTGACACCTCCTCACCCCACACATCCAAAGAGCTGCCCAAAGCTGACAGTTCCACACACAGCTATCAACTCCTCCCTGTTCCTACTGCACCTGCCCTGATTCAGACCCCTCTCACCTGACTGTGGAACAAACCCCAAATCCTAATTGAATTCCCCACATGGCAACCCTCCACCACCCAGCACTTGTAGCTGAGTAATCTTTGCAAAATCCCACTCTGTTCTCATCAGTTTCCCCCTCCCTCAACTCAAAACTCTTCAAAGGTGCCTCACTGCCTACAACATAAAAGTCCAGTGTCCCTAAAACAGCACTGGCTTCCCCACCCCTGTCTGTCGGTCTGTCTCCCACCCTCTGTGCCAGCCTAGCTGCAGTAAGGCACTTGCTCCTCCCCAGAGCTGCCCAGCCCTTCCGCACAGCCCTGACACCCTGGGTTCTCTCTGCTTCGCATCCCCTTCCCCCGCACCTCTTTGCATCCATTTCCCATCCACACTTCAAAACTCAAAGGAAATGCTGCTCCTTCCTTAAAGCCTTTCTTCTTCCATTCCTGGACAGACCTCCTTCCCCTCTCCTTCGTACCCCTTCACTCTAGAGCCCTGATCACTCTTCTGTGTACATGTTTTTCCCTACTTCTTCCAGGTTATACTTGGAGCAACTTGTGGGCAAGATCCAAGCCTAACTCATCTCTGAATCCCCAGAGGCACAGCAGGACACAGAAAAGGGAGGCACTCAGCTCCCGCTAGAGGTGGCCTCCTGGTTCAAGCCTCAGCGCTCCCGAGTGCGGCCTTGGCTAAGTTCTATACAGTTCTCTGTGTTTCAGTTTTCTTATCTGTGAAGTGAGGACACAATAGCACCTACTTCATAAGGTTACTATGAAGATATAACAAATACATGGAAACCCTCAGATCAGCACCTGGCACCACCTAAGTACTGTGTAACTGCTGATTATTAGTGTCGCTGTCGTAGTTCAAACAGCTTTGTGTGTCTGGGAGCCTTGTGTGCATGTCAGAAGATGCAAGAAAGGATCATGCATTTGGAAAGGTGACTGCAGGGTGCGCTGGGGGTGAGGGGAGAGGGTGGCAGATGAAAGCGGAGAAGCACAGAAGACCATCTTGGGAAAAAGCCAAAGTATTGGTAAACCTGCTGAGTTGACTGGCCACAAAAAGGGCTCATTGGCACAAGGCAGTATCAGAGACTGCACACAAACCACCGCCCAGTCCCCAAAGTGAGGCCGGAAGGAAAAAGATTTGCCTGACTGAGGGACTAGGCTGACCTTCTCGGATGGGAAATCCCGACAGGCCCCACCTGCTTTCCTAAAAAAACAGCTGCTGTGCCAGACGTGGAGAGGAGGCCATAGGCAGGGGCGAAGAGTCTCTGAAACACGTGGTCTCTGCAATCAGCAGAGAAGAGCTCAGCCTTTGGAAGCAAAGAGCTCTGATCCTTACTAGCTTGCGTGACTTTAGAGAAACCATTCCATTCTCTCAGTACTGATTCCTCCATTTCTAAATTGGACCTACTTCCCAGGGTTTCTGTGATGACTAAGTGACATAATAGCAAAATAAACTCTTCACAAAGGGCCTGGAATGTGTGCAGTCACATTTTCACAGAGGAAGGGCTTTTAAAATTGGGTCTGAAAGGATGACAAAAGAGTTACAAGGGGGAAAAGAAAAGCCATCTGCAAAGGCACACAGTGTGTTCAGAGAGCACTCCCCGGGGTCCTGGGGTGATGGGAGGGAGGGGCAACTGCAGGTGAGAGGCTGGAGAGGCCCTTTGGAGTCGAATGCCCCCGGATCTCCCTGTGGGCAGTGAGGGCAACTTTAAGGGCCAAACCTCTATGGCAGAGCATGGTGCTCAACTTTTAGACCCTGGATTCAGCAGCACTAAGATGGGCCCTCAGGTGACGCCAGTGCATGTGATGTAAGGATCATGCTTCAAGAAGCACTGCTCCAGGGGTTCACGGGCGGCCCCGGGGGGAGGTGATGGTGGCTGGGAGGGAGGCAGCTGCAGAGGGTGAGCAGTTAACAGTCTGAAGCACATTTCTCCTCTCCTCGGCAGCCCCAGAGAGTATCTCTGGCCTTAGGCCCTGGAGGAGCGAGCCTCATAGCCACAGGGGTTCCATTCCCCTGCTGGGACCGCATGCAGGCTCAGAAACAAAATTTGAGGAGGAGGAGGAAATCCACCAGGAAGCTGCTGAGCTGAAAGCAAATAGCCAGCAGCTCCGGCTCTGACAAGATAAATGTCACTGGCTCTCAGATGGCTCTCAGAGTTTAGAACCCCCAAGGTCTGAGCCTCTCCCCCAGCCACCTGCCGGTCTGTATACTAAGATGCTGCAGTTTCCCTGCAGTACCACCCCCTGGAGGCCCTTCAGGTGCACCAGAGTGGTGCCAGGCTGCCTCACTGCCAGGGCGGACTCTTCAGAACAAGTATTCTGTGAACAGGCTCACTGAATGAGTTTGGGAGGACACAGCGGTCTGGGCACTCACCTTTCCTGACACCTGGTCTGAGACCACTCAGAAGTCTTCAGTGAGCCTGAAGCCCCCACCTAAGCTTCTCCACATCCACTGAGTTGCCAAGCCCCCTCCCCAGGCCCCATGTGTCCAGGAGCTCACCTTCACCGCCTCTGCTCTTTATCCTTCCCCATCTCATCTCACCACTCCCCTGCCTGCCTCGGCATCCTGCAGTGGTACAGCCCTTGCCGCATCTGCTGTCACATTAAATACCTCTTTGAAAACCTCTTTGCTGAGAATGCTCCATAATGAGCCCTCTGACAGAACACTGTTTAGTAAGCACCTCCCATGTGCCAGACACTGTGCCCAGTGTCTACTGCATTCTCTCACTTAATCTTTATTAACAATCTTGTGAGGTACTGACATTTACCCATTTTACACATGTGGATATGGAGGCTTAAAGAGATGATGTAATGTGGTCAGGTCAGTAAATGATCTTATCTCAAAAGTCCAAGCTTTCAGCAATTAGGCTACCGTGCCTTTCTGCGTATAGCAGTCAGTCTCCCTTACACAGAAATGGGGTTCCTTCCCACAGCAGATGGTAGTACTGTCTCCAATGACTGGCGAATCCACCCCTTCCCCCACTTCCCGGCAAGAGCACGGTACGTCCTCTCCACTGCTCGGGGGGCTGCAGAGACCCTCGAATGAGAGGAGTATCCACTCCCATCCTACTGTGCCAGGCTTGACCAGGGGATGTGGTCTGGCCAATAAACCTGAGTAGAAGAGATATAAAGTCCTTCAGAGCAGAAGCTCTAGGAGTCATTGTGCATTCCTCCTAGCTCTCCTGCTTTTTTTGCCTGCCACAGAAACATACCCCAAACGGGGGCTGTGCCTCTAGCCGAGATCCTGGAAAGAAAAGGCACGTGGAGCAGAACCTCAGCAGCCAAGCCTGCAGCTGCCAACGTGTAAGCAAGAGTAAATAAGTGTGAGCGAGGAACAGAAATAAACGTTTGTTGCTGTAAGCCAGAGATTCCAGAATTGTTGTCACCACAGCAAAGCTAATTAACAGACTTCTCATTCTGCTAATGCAAGCGAAGCTAGAGACAATATGCTTAGAAGCCAGAGAGCAGGCTGCCTGTGCATCCACAAGAAGGGCACACAAGGGCCCTGGATAACTCAGAACAAGGCTCAAGGCACCTGGAGTCCAAGACGCCTACTTACCTGGAGGAGGTGGTCCCTGTCCATAAGGTCCAGCACCGTAGGAATTTGGAGGTGGTGGACCATAGGGGCCCCCTGGGGCTGCGCCACCATAGGGTCCTCCTGGAGTTCCAGAAGGGAGCCCCCCAGGGTGTGGGTGTCCATAGGGTCCTCCACCAGCTGGTGGTCCATAAGGCCCTCCAGGGGCAGGACCTCCTCCATATCCACCACCAGGGGGTACCCCACTCCCATACTGCCCTCCACCGTGGGGGGGTCCGGGGTAGTAGCTACCCGGAGGGGCTCCGGGTGCTTGTCCTCCAGCTCCTGGGCAGCCCTGCAACAAGAGCAAGACATCGGTCAGAAGGACAGGGCCAGAAACTAGCCACGGCACGGCACTTTACAGTTATAAAGCCCTGCCACGGCCTTTCTTTCAACTGATCCTACAGGCTGGACTGGACTCATGATCCCACGGTTCAGATGGGGAACCTGAGGCTTCTAGAGACATACAGTTTACCCAGTCACACTGCCCATGACCTGCAGAGGCAGGGCTGGAAACCTGCTCTCCTGGCTCCCCTGGAAACCTGCCCTTCCCTGCACACCAAGAGGCTCCACAAGGGCTGGTATCCTGACTGGCTTGCCACTTTATCCCCAGCCCCCAGGGCAGAATGGATGCTCAGTGAGTACTGACTGTATCCGTGAGCAGGCAAATGAATCAAATTGAATTCAAAATCCACACTCTACAGTACCCCCACCTCTACTTGCAGAATTCACAGCACAAATGTGATCTCCAGCAATGCCCACCCCCCCGACCCTCCCAGTCACCAATATGGTGCATCCATAGCATGGATTCACCCAGAGCACGTCTTCCTTACTGTACTCTAACTCATTATGCAAAAACATTTCCTCAGACTCACCCATGGCTCTGTGAGACAGGCAGGCAAGACCCTATTCCTAAAGCAATATAGAACAATGGTTAGGAGTGAAAAAGAGCAGTTCAAGTTGGGGTTCTGCCATTTACTAATTGGTCCAATGACTAGCCTCTCTAAACCTCAATATTCTTTGCTTTAAAAGTGCCTGCCTACCAATGAGTATGAGAATGAAATGAGGCCTATCACATAAGGAGTTCTGACAGAGACCCTAGCACAAAACACTCAATACACATTAGCTATTAGTAGTAGCACTCCCCTATGGAGAAGGAAACTCCAGTCCAGAAAAATCACACAAAACTGTGTGGAAGGGCTGGGGCCAGAATGCAGGTCTCCTGGCTGCTAAGCCCGGGCCATGGGTACAGTAGAGCCTCCATGGGAGCACTCCCTCTCTTGATCATGTCCCCACACCACTAGTCAGGGACCCCTGAGACTCAGAGTGTTCGGCTCCATCTCCCTAACAGGCTGCCAAAAGGCCTAGCGGAGGACAGCCTCGAGGCCTCTGCACACGGGCTGAGTTCAAGGGCACAAACGGCAGCTGGGCCCAGCTCCAAAAATTGTGAGGATGCACCATCTAGACAAGTCGTAGACCCACCATCAGTGGCCTAGTCAGTGTGAACCCGGACTTTCTCTTTTAATTGTGTTTGATGGCTTCCTGGACAGTTACCCTCAAGGCTGAGGCCAAATTCACACTTGATCTAAAGAGGGACTGCCTACTCAAGGAAGAGAAGCTTCTTGAGGGAGGGTGGGTGGCAGGCCCTTCCCCACTCTGCACCGTGGGCGCTGTTCTGCCCTGGAAGCTGCCAGAGCTCATGGCAAGACTCCTCCACAGATAATGAAGTCACAGGCAAATCTCAGTTCCATACTCTGCTCTCATCAGCTGACTTCATGACTATGTGCCAGTGGCTTAATCTCTCTAAGCCTGTTCTCCCACAAGCAAAATACATAATAATCCCTTCTTCACTGACTTGTTCCACAGATTACAAGAAATGTATACAGCTTTTGTTACATTTTAGCTAAAGAAACTTCTGATAAATACAAATCAAAAAACTCACAAGAGAAAGCTGCTGTGGCTGGAGGTGGGGATTCCGGAGCCCCAGTCAGGCGGGCTCGCAAACCCTCCCTGAGCTTGTGAGTGAGCCCTGCAAAACCTTCCCTGTGATTCAAAAGGCATTTTGAAAAGCACTAACACAAGACGAACAGTTCTAACAACTGTTAGCATAAATCATATCTGCTAATGTTGTATTAATTATTATTATTACTATCAGCAAAGCTCTGAGCCAGGTAAACTGGCACGGGGCAGGGGGGTGCAGGAGGTGCGGTGCAGTGTATAAAGGAGAGGGAAATGTTCGAAGGAGCACGGACACACTCTCTGTAACATTTAACAACGCAGCATGAGGAAAGAGCTGTTTAAAATGGACACATAAGCCAGGTGCCATGGGACCAACAAAGAATAAAAAGGGGGACTTCCCTGGTGGTCCAGTGGTTTAGAATCCACCTGCCAATACAAGGGACCCAGGTTCGATCCCTGGTCCTGGAAGATTCCCCGTGCCTCAGGGCAACTAAGCTTGTGCGGCCACAACTACTGAAACCCATGCGTCCTAGAGCTCATGCTCTGCAAAAGAAGCCATCTCAGCAGGAAGCCTGAGCACTGCAAGGAAAAACAGCTCCCGTTATTCACAACTAGAGAAAGCCCACGTGCAGCAACAAATACCTAGCATGACCAAAAACAAACAGATAAAATTTTTAAGAGATTCCCAATGGAGTTGGAGACATGCGCAGGGAACCTCTTCAATCGATCCCCTCCAGCTCACAGACAAGAAGCTAAGGCCAGGTGCGGGGAAGGGACTGGCAGACCACTCCCTGTTCACAGCCTAGCCCAGTGTCTCCCACTGCCTCTGCGACAGTGCTCTTTCCTTAAGCAACAGGGCACAGGATTCCAGGGTAGGCTAGAAAAGTGGACAGGACTCCACAGGGGCTGGGCAAACCAAAGAACAGGCTGGACAAGAAGCCAGGGAGCCGCTGCTCCCAAGAACTCCTGTGAGTGGAGCCGTAAACTGTTCCTGGCTGAGGACACCTGAGGCATAGTCCTTACCTCGGGAAACGCCTCCAGACAATCAAGCGAGGGCTGTCCGAGGCAGGGCTTCTGACCTTGGCACTGTCACAGTCCTGGGGGCTGATGGCAACTAAACCCTTCCCTTTCTGCCCTGCATTAAAGCCCTCAGATGTACAGTTCACAAAGCACTTTCACATACATACATAAACGCTACTGCAAAACCCCATCAACAATCCTTTAACAGGAGAAAAAGGAAGGTGTTAGAAGGCCTATTTTCAGAAACTGAGGTGGACAACTGTTAAAAGACTTCATTCATTCACTAAGACTTTACAGAGCAATAATGTTAAGTTGTGCTAGGCAGAACAAGGCCTGGCCTTGAAGAGCCCGGGGTAACTGTGATACAATCTGATCAATGTCATCAGAAAAATCAACTTAAATGCTTTTCGGAGGCATGGGTAGAAAAATTGGTTCCATTTGTCAAATGATAAATAAGCAATCAAAGGAACACATGCAGGCAGGGGCTCAAGGAAGGCTTCCTGGAGGAGGCAGAGTCTGGCGCACAGGAATTCTCCAAAAGGAAACTGGACATCCCAGACAGAAGGGAGAAGAAAGACAAAGACACAGACCTAAGTGCGAGCATGGAGTGGTCAGGGAATGGGCTAAAAACCAGGGGGCAGGGGCAAGAACGCAGTGTGAACTCAGAAAGGCAAGCTCTTTACGTGCTCCTTGTCCCATCACCTCTCCTGCTGCATTTCGGTTAGCTGGTGGGGACCTGCATCTTAGAAGAATTTCTCTCTGTCACAAAACAGTGAGCTCCCTTGGGGCAGACACTGGGCCTCATTGATCACAGCACCCCAGTGTCCAGCACAGTGCCTGGCACTGACAAGCCTCCGTAAAAATGTGAACAAATGAATACCACTCAGATGTGGAGCTTTATGCCAGGGGAAACAGAGTGCCATAGGAGGGTTTCCAACAGGGAAGAAACGTGATCATAGCCTTGTTTAGAGAACTAAGCAGCAGAGGGTGTGGAGGATGAGCTTGCGGGGGAGGAAGCAGCCAAAGTGCTGGACAAGCAGAGTCTGAACCAGACAGCAGACTCAGAACAGGATGGATTCTGGAGCTATTTCAAAGATAGACTAGACATGACTTGGCAACTAATTAGATTAGGGAAGCGATGGAAGGAGGAGTGAAGAAGGGGAAGTGTTTAGGATGACTCAGGTTTCTAGTTTGCATAATAAGATGAAGAAAGTAAAACCACCAGGATCCAGGCTGGGGAAGACGATTCCCAGGGCCACTGAGTTATAAGTAAAGGTCAGAACCAGAAATGAAACAGGAGTGAGAGTTCCTGACTCCATGTCCTTTTATACTACTCCATGTCACTTGCCAACCCCTTTAAGAGGTTTTTCCAAGAGCATTACATGGTGATAAACATGAGATTATTAAAAAAAAAAAGAAAGAAAAAAAGGAGAAAAAAAAGACAGGAAAATTTCAGTAACCATGGTTTCCAAAACAATACAGAAAACTAACCCTTTGTTGTTGTTATTATTTTTCAGTTGCTAAGTCATGTCCAACTCTTTGTGACCCCACAGACTTCAGTGCACCAGGCTTCCCTGTCCTCCACTATCTCCTGGAGCTTGCTCAAACTCATGTCCATTGAGTCAGTGACGCCATCCAACCACCTCATCCTCTGTTGCCCCCTTTCCTCCTGCCCTCAATCTTTCCCAGCATCAGGGTCTTTTCCAAACTAATCCTATGTCTTTACTGATTGCAAGTAAAATACATCTGATAAGTTTGGGTGGGGGCAGGGAGCAATTAACACTTTATTAAGGCTCTCACTGATCCTCTGTCCTATGAGGTTAGGGCTATTGATCCCTATTTTACAGATGAGAAAATTAAGGACCAGAAAGTTTCATCATGTGCCTGGAATAACACAGCTAGAAATAGTGAGATTTAAAACAGGGTCTGCATGACTCCACCCACTCTACCCTCTTCTAAGTAAGTGTTCACGATAAATGAGTGAGAGTCTACCACACGCCAGTGGCAGGGACTGTCCAAAATATATGTGTCAAATATAATGGGTCTCTACAGTGGGCAGGGTTGAAGGGGGAAAGGCTGGATTAGGCTTTCAAGCCCAGAACTCAGGGAGACTCAGAAGCATTTTATCTTGTTTTCACTCCAGCACTTAGACTCAATTCAAGAGCCACAGTATTGTAAGAGACCCCAGAGCCCTCCGGTCCAACCTTTCAGTCAATGATGGAGTCCCTGTAGCACCATCTGGAATCTGTGCTTACATTCCCATAAGTGGTGGGGAGCTCGTGCATGCGAAGTCGTTTCAGTCGTGTCCGACTCTTCGCAACCCTAAGGACTGTAGCCTGCCAGGCTCCTTTGTCCATGGGATTCTCCTGGCAAGGATATTGGAGTGGGTTGCCATGCCCTCCTCCAAGGATCTTCTCACTCCAGGGATCAAATCTGCATCTCCTGCATCACAGGCATATTCTTTGCCACTGAGCCACCGAGGAAGCCCCAGAGGGGAGCTCACCCCCTCTTAAATAACCCAATCGGAAAGTCCTACACTTTGCTTTGGCTCTGAGAGCTCATTCTTCTACCCTGAAGATGCTAGTAAAGCTCAGAGGTGTCAAAGGTTGGTCCATGCTGAGGCTGACGGGAAAGAGTTGGCTGTGTTGCAAAGACAAGCCTGTGCTCTGGAGCCATCCCCAGCCTGCTGCAGGAGGCTAGAGCCCATTCTAAGGGGTTAAACAGTCACAAGATTACAGAAGGAGTGGTTTGGGCGTTCACCAGCAGAACATCCTAAAATATTTAAAGGCTAGAAGCCTGCAGCCAATTAACAGCAAGCCAAGAATTGTCCCAAGACTTCAGTTACCACCTCTGTGCTGACACTCTAAAATCTTTCTCTCCAGCTTCATCTCTTCTGAGCTGCAGACCTTCATATCCAACAGCCTCCTGATGTTCCATCCAAATCCGCTCCTCCCTCTGTGTGCCATCGCATGAAGGGACACCCTGGTGCACCACTCCTGTCCTTTCCTCTCCTCTGTCACCTCAATCAGGCACCAAATGTTCGCACTTCTACCTCCCAGCTCCATGTTCCTCAGGTCACTGTTCTCTCACCTGGATAACTTTTCTTTTGGACAGGAAAGTAGGATTTATTGGTGGGCATGAATAAGGAGGGGTCAGCGCCAAGGCTCTCATGAATGCAGGGCACATCATTTGTCCAGAGGACCACAATTAGGGATGTATTTGACACCACAGCTATCTGGATGAGCCATTCTTCTGCCACTGTTTTAAAATTCATCCTCATTAAACTCAAGTAAATGCCCACTTCTTAGAGATGGGGACCTTCTGGTAGCCAGAGAACTTGAACTTGGCCCTGCGGAGGGCTTCAATCACATGATCCTTGTTCTACGGCTTGGTGCGGATGGACCATATGACTTGGCCAATGTACCTGGCCACTCTCCCCTGGTGCTTTCTAAAGGCACTGCACATAACCCGCTTGGAGGCTAGATTAGGGACAGCATGCCAGTCATGAACGTCCACTGGAAAAGGCTGTCGCCAAGGGCCCCTTAGGGCAACAGGCTGTATATACTACAGAGGTGGCTGTTTTTGGCCATGGCACATTGGGCTCCCACAGTGGAAAGAGCCCAGTCGGCTTAATTGGCTGCAAGTCATCTAGATTACTTCAATAGCTTTGAAACTGGTCTCCCTGCTTCAACCCATCCTGATAGTGCCCCCTGGTAACAGCTTCAAAACACAAATGGGATAAAACTCTTTAGGAGATCCCTCACAAGTCCACCCTCCTCAAAAAGGCACATAAGGCCCTTTTAGATCTAGTCCTTGCTTTCCTTTCTGGTCTCATTTCTTACCATTTCCCCCTCCTCTTCACAACTAGACTGATCTCCTTAAATTCTTCCACAATACTGGGCTCTTGCTTCCTGGCCTTTGTGAACACTACTCCCTCCACAGGATTACTTTCTTCATGCAGCCAACTCCTACTGGATATTCGGTTTTTGGCTTAAATGTCATCTCCTTTAAGAAGCCTTCCTTCCCTCAAGACTGAGTTAGGGAGCTCTCCTGTGCAGGCCTGATTTTTACTCCCATTTAATACTTATCACGCTGATTCTATAATTTACGTGTCTGTATCACTCTTCCACCTGGAGTATTTACTACATGTCAAAACACTGTATCACTCACTTAACACGGATTATCTTATTTAATTTTTACAGAAACTCTTGAGGAAGGTACACCCATGATCCCATTTTTAAAAAGGGGGATACCAAGCCTCAGACTTTGGCGGGAAATTTCTGCAAGGAAATGGGAGTGGAGGGGTTGGAAGCCAAATCTCTCTGGTCTCAGAGACCAAGCTCTTATGCACTGAAATCCATTAGGCTGGCTCCCCGATGGGACCAAAGGGTACTGGGGAGTTTTACTTCTCCAACACCCAGTCCATGCTTGAGGACACCCCAGGCAGGAGGCAGTGGAAAGTTACAGGAATTTTGATTCCTAACAGGAGGCTAGAATCCTCCAGGGCTACATACTGGGTGGAAGAGAGGCAGTACTAATTCTTTGGATGCTTTCAAACAACACACTTCCTTTCTTGCAACACTGTGGACCAGGAGCTGGATAGGAGGAACAAAGGTATGGTGATGGAAAAGCATTTCTTCTTCTACTCGAGGCACATTTCTCTCTGTGCTCCTTCTCACCATCTCATTGAGCATAAGGCCAGGCACCAAGGCATGATAACAGTGATCACAGCAGCAAGAGCGATGCCACCACATGCTGGCACACACTACACATTAGCAATGCACCAAGCTGCCTACAGGCTTTACCATATTTCATCCTCTTTCCAGCCCTATGAAGTATCATTCCTCCCTCTTTACAAGTAAGGAAACTGAGACTCAGAGTCCTTAGATGATTTGTCCAAAAGGGTATAAATATTAAATAGTAGAATTAGGATTCTAGCCCAATTCAGTCTAACCTGGAAGTTCAGGCTCCTAATTTCTATGTCACTGCTTCTAGGATGCATACCAATGATCTCCAAAAGCTTATTAAAATGCAGATGCTTCGGCCTTTTCTGGGTACAGAACAGGTCTGAGGTGGAAATCTAAACTGTGCTTTTTTAACAAGCTCCTAAAAATTCTGATGCAGACCACCCACCAAGAAACAATGCACCGTGGCAATGTTTCCCCAAACTATATTCCTCAAGAATACCAGTGTCACCAAAAAAGTGACCAGATTCAAAACAGAGGGAGGGGGAGCTTTCTATGGTTAAGTAAGTTTAAGAAACACTGCATATTCTGTCCCTTTCTGCAAACATACAATGTTTACTAACAAATTAAGAATTCTGAGATGCTTTGTGATGAAAAACTTACTATGCTATATTTAACAGAGTATTTCCCAAACTTATTTATCCATACTCCCACATTAGCAATACTTGTTAACATCTCACAAGCCTCAGCAAATGGAACTGAGTTTGGTTATACTTCCTCCTAATCTCAGCCCCGGTGGGCCTCTCTTTCCTACTTCTGCTAAGTATGCAACAAAAGTTCTAAGTTCTAGCATAGATGCTCCCTCACTTGCTATGTGCAACCATGGGCAAGCCACTCAACCTCTTCGGGCTCTTTCCGGAGTTGTAAGTTGAATCAATTATTCCTGCGAGCCTGCTTATAGAGCTTTCACGATTGAGAATATGGATGTCCAAATACTGTGAACAGGGCTGCACTGCCTAAGAGAGCTCTTGCCACATCTTTCGGTATGTGATTACATACAGCGCTTAGTAATAGACCATGTGACCCTGTTTGCCAATTTTTCCTGCATGGGTTTGATCTCCTAAATTAGCGTGATCTTGGGCAACTCAGGAGCCCTCTCTGAGCTTCAGTTTCCTCCTTTTAAAATGAAGGAACTTGGGACTTCTCAGATGGTACACCAGTTAGGACTCTGCACTCCCAACACAGGGGACCCAGGTTCCATCCTTGGTTGGGGAGCTTGATCCTACATGCTGGAACTAAGACCTGAGGCAGCCAAATAAATGACATTTAAAAGTAAATTAATAAAATGAAGGAACTCTTTTCAGGGCTCTTCCAGCACTGACCTTCTAGGAATCTAGGAAAAATAAAAATACTAAAAGGTTAACACCCGTTACACTCTCAGTTGTACGAGCATCACTTCATTACTCTTCATAACAGCTCTATGAAATAGATCCTATTATGTGGCCCTATTTTACCGAGGAGGAAACTTCAACTCAGAAAGGCAAAAGTACCCTGCTTAAGGGCTCTAAACTAAGTGATGGAGCCAAGATGTGAACCTTCCTCTGACTCCAAACTGCACTTGATCACTCAACCATTCTGTCATCCAACAACGGGTTCTGGCCACAGAATCACCTTGCTGTGGCGTTCTTGGCTGGATCAAGATGCGCTAGCAAGTGGGGAAGAGGCATTTGCTGGCAGCTCCGGGTTCTGGGGCCTAACGACTTCGGATAAAGTCCATGCCTTCTTGGGTCTTACTTTTTCTATGTGTGAAATGGAGGTACAGTACTAAATCAGTGGCCAGACAAGCTCACTTGTGCAGTCTGCTAAAACCACAGATTCTCCTGATTATTCAGATGCAGTACGTCAGAGGTGTATTTTTATCGACTCCCCAAAAGATACCGACAGAATCAGTGCTCTAAACGTTCTGCTGGCGTTGATGACCCCGCTTGCGGGCCCCGGTGGAGTCCTGGGAGAGTTGTGGGGCCCAGGCCAAGCGCAGTCTGACTCTGGGGTCCAAGAGCCCCAAATCTTCCCGTGCGCAACGTCAAAGGGGGCGCGACACGACCTCCCAGACGTGCGTGCCTACGTGACGTGAGCCAGGCGCGACCGACCATCCCTTTTTCCTTTCTCTCTTGAGCAACCTCGCGGAAGACAACCTCAGCGTGGGAAAGGCGCGGAGGAGGCGGGGAGAAAGCGAAGCAGGGGGTTCCGGGCAGGAGTTAGCGAGGTCCCTACTTGAATTCGCCCGCCCCTCACACTCACCTGCCCGTAAGGGTAGCTGGCCATGGCGACTCTGACGTCACACGTCCGCGAGGGGCGGAGCTTCCAGGCGTCAAACCTGCCTCCTCTGGCGCCTGGGGGCGGGCCCTATTCTGATTGGGTAGGTATGAGACTGTCCATCCTGGACGCAGGGGTCGACGGAACTGACGCTAAAGGGTGGAGGTTTGGTGCCTCACAGGGAGAGAGCCAGAGAAGCTGAGGATCCGGAGGTGGATTCCGGAAAACTTGTTTGCTGTGCTGGCGCAGCTGTTCCTCCCTTTTTTGATCTAGAGTAGGTCTCGAGAGAGAAACTTGGGTAGGGTGTTGCAGCGGTGGCCATGTTTTAACCTGGCGAAAAGGACGCAGGACAGTGGCGTAGTTGCTGTCCTCAGTCCAAGTTTCCACCAGGGGAAGGCCCAGGCGGTTACCCTGACAACGGGGAACAGAGGACTCCTGGGAAGGACAGAGGCTAGGGCTAGAAGTACTTCGTTCTAACGTCAGGACACCATGTCAGTAACTTTGGAGTGGGCTGTATGGTATTTGGATAGGAAAATTCCAAGCCGTTAGAATGGGATGGAAACTAGATCATCTAGGATCTCTTCTGGCTTTACTTTCACCACCAGACACATCCACAGCTGAACCCTGTTTCTACTTTGGCCCAGCCTTTTCATTCGTTCAGGCTTTCCTGGTGGCTTGAACGGTTAAGAATCTGCCTGCAATGCAGGAGACACGGCCTCGACCCCTGGGTAAGGAAATGGCTACACCCACTCCAGTATTCTTGCCTGGAGAATCCTATGGACAGCGGAGCCTGGTGGGCTACAGTCTTTAGGGTCGCAAAGACTCGAACAGGGACTGAGCAACACTTTCTTTCTTTCTTTCTTTCTGGAGCTTTTTTCCCTCTCTTCCCCTGTAGGGTATTGGACATCTATCTGCTTAGGGGCTTATCTTTCGGTATCCTATCTTTTTGCTTTTTCATCTTGTTCATGGGGTTCTTGAGGCAGAAATACCGAAGTGATTGCCATTCTCTTCTCCAGCGGACCACATTTTGTCAGAACTCTCCACCGTGACCCTTCTGTTTTGGGTGGCTTTGCATGGCATGGCTCATAGTTTCATTGAGTTACACAAGGCTGACTTGTTTCATAAATGGGGAAATAGATCCAGTGACTTGCCCTAGTTCACTGTGGCTTAGGGGCATAGTGTAGCCTAGAATTGGGATCAGTGGATGCCCCAGGTCTCATCAGGGAAATCTTGAGAACTGATCCCCAATGTAAGTAAAATCTTGATTATTAAGAGGTGTCAACTACAAATTGGCACTTGCCAAGAGCTTTTGCTAGCGACTGAACTGCACCAACAAGGGCCCTTGCCGTCTGCCTATGCTACTGCAGCTGCTGACCTTCCAACACTCCCCAAAGGGAATTTGGGGTGGAGAGGGAGGCACTCTGTGCTCCAGGGAAACTGATGAAACAGGTCTTTAGATAGTTAGATATTTTCAGAAACTGATTTTATGATCCCAATCCTTGCATCTCCTCACATCTAGAAAAGCACTAAATCCCTTGATGGTGACCTCAGTTCCTCGCGATTAGCAGAAAATCTTCTGTGAAGTAAGCTCACGATTGCATTGAACTCCCCCTTTACCACAATCTTATGTATTGACCTTCCCCCACTGCCTCTTTGGAGCAGTCTTTCAGACCTATCTGAGGTGCCCTTTCCTAGGCTGCAGCCCTCATCTTGCCCCCAAATAAAACTTGACTCACAACTCTAAACATTTTTTTAGTTGACAAAGACCTCACAGTTGTGTATTTGCTTCTTTGTGATTTAGGCTCTCCACTTGTTTGCATGCTTATTTGATTAATTTGTTAGTCCTGTGTGGCATAGACTGTGTCTGATTTTGCCTGCCATTGTATCTCTAGAACCTGTATTTTTAAAAATAATAGTGTTACGAGATGTCACTTTTGGCCATCGAGCCATTGTCACCTGCAAATTGGCACTTGCCATCTGTCTCTACAAAGGATCAAATTATGAGCCACTGTTGCTACTGACCTTCAACACTCCCTGAAAGGAGTTAAATGTGGAGATTAGGAATGAGGCATTCTGTGCTCTGGGGAAAACTGGCTGAATAGGTCTTCAGTTAGGTATTTTCAGGAGACAACGTCATGAGCCCCATTCTTGCCTCACCTTGTATCTATAAAAGAACTAAAATCCTCCATAGTGACATCTGCTTCTCATCACTGGCAGACACATTCTGCAAAAAAATATGGGCTGATTACAAGTACTCCCCTTTCACCAAAGTCGCATATATACTGAACTTCCTCTTACCACTTTGAGCAGTTTTTCAGAAAAATCTGAAATACTTTCTCCCAGACTATAGTCCTCATGTTGCCCCAAATAAAACAACTCACAGTGCTTCTGTTTTGCCTTTTTTTTTTTCAGTCGATAGCCAGCACTTTCCAAAATCACGATGCTGATCATGCTCCTCGTCCACTGGAGAACCCACAATGGCTTGTCTTCATCCACATCTACAAAATAAGGTCCAGCCTCTTCATTGCAGCACACTAGACCCTTCACAATTTGGCCCAGCCTCACCTTTTCATCTTATGTCTTACAGCCCCCATTTGTCTGGTGTTCTGTACTCCTGTGTTCAGTTCTACCATTAAGCCCCCTTTCTTTGGAATGGAGAATCTTGATTTTACCACTTTCTAACTCTATGACCTCAGTCAAGTCATTTAATTTCTGAGTCTCAGTTTCCTCTAATGTCAGAAACTAGTATATAAAGAAATCTGAAAAAAATGAGTTTATGGCACCTATTCATGCCCAGATTTGTTTTCAGACCACTCCTTTTACCCAACCAGCAGCCCTCCCAAGTCCATTCCTTCAAAGCTCAGTTCCAGGGACTTCCCTGGTGGTCCAGTGGTTAAGAATCCACCTTCCAATGCAGGAGACACAGGTTCCATCCCTGATCGGGGAACTAAGGTCCCCCATACCTCTTGGGGTAACTAAGCCAGCATGGAGCAACTACTGAGCCCACATGCCACAACTAAGACCTGACACAGTCAATTAAATAAGTAAATTTTAAAAAAACAACAACTACATTCCAATCCCATGCTGCACCTAACCCTCCCACATCCCCACCAGCTCTAGAGTTACCCACGCTTTGCACTTGGTACTGTCACTGTGCTGTATTATAGCCTGCCTGCTGAAGAGTTCTCTTTGATAATTTTCCCCAAACTCTTTCCTCCTCTTCATCTCTGAAAATCCACCCAGTCTCTCAGGCCTGAAACTGTGGATCATTCTTGTGTGACCTCTGTTAAGCCACACACTCTCCCACTTCCATGTGCGCTCTAGCTCAAAAATAGACCGAGTTGGCACATTCACCCTAGTCTGGAACACCATCATCTGTGGCCTGGAGCATGACCATAGCTTCCTGATCAATGTCCCTGCTTTCACTCCTTCCCCCACATTCTGTTTTTCACAGGGCAGCCAGAATGATTATCTTAAATGTAAATAAGATCTTGTCATTCCTGGGCTTAAACTCCTCCTGAGGCTTCCAATAACTCTTACAGGAACATCTAAACTCATCCTGATAGCATTTATGGCCCTCTGTAACCAAGACCCTGCCTGTGTCTTCAGCCCCTCTTCCCACCACTGTGGCCTTCAGGTCACTCCCAACTGTGCTGGCCTGGTCTCCACCTCTGGAACATACCAAGCTCATTCCCACTTTTAGATTTTGGATTAGTAGTTCCTTCTGCCTGGAATGCTCTTCCACTGGCTCTTCACTGGCTAGCTTCTCCTTGCCATCCAGGTCTCAGTTCAAATCTCACTTCTTTGGGTGAGGACATTGACACCAGATCTAAAGTAGCACTGGGGGCTTCCCTGGCGGTCCAGTGGTTAAGAATCTGCCTGCCAATGCAGGACACGGGTTCGATTCCCCACTCTGGGAAGATACCATGTGCTGCAGAAAAACTCAGCCCATGAGCCACAACCACTGAAGCCAAGTGCCTAGAAGCTGTGCTCTGCAACAGAAGCCCCTGCAATGAGAAGCCCGTGCACCCCAACTGGAGAGTAGCCCCCACTCACTGCAACTAGAGAAAGCCCACGTACAGCAATGAAGAGCCAACACAGCCAATAAATAAATAAATCTTAAAAAAAATAAATAAAGTAGCATTGCCCCCCTCCACACACATTCTAGTCATCTATAATACCACTATGTCTTATTTTTTTCATAACACTTGTCACTACTTGAATTGTCCTTTTTAAAGTTTACATGTATACTGTAGGATTGTCCTTTTCCTTATTCACTCTTCTATCCCCAATGCCTAGAATAGTGCCTGGGATGAGTTCAATGACTATTAATAGTTATCAGTAGTAGTAGTATCCTGTACTGGATGCTTGCTACATGTCAAACATTGTGCTAAGTACAATGTATTGCCTCAATTTTCACCACAATCCTTTGACATACTGTTACCCTTCTATAATGAGGAGCTGAGGCTGAGAGCAGCTAAGTTACTTCCCAACTATCAAAAGGAAATGGAGAAGGCAGACTTGAAGCCAGGTCCAACTTAACTCATCAGCACTTAGTAGTTAGTTGGTCTTCTTTGCCTTTGTAAATCACCACCGCTCCCTACATACACAGTCCAAAACAATTAGTGGAGTCGAACTGCAAAATCTCCAAAAGAAGGAAGCCCTGCAGTCTGGGCTGAAGGTCAAGGGAGAAAGAATAGTGATACCTGGCCTGCAAACTGGGGCAGTGTGAGATGCACTCATTTTGTTCCACAAGCACAACCTGTTGCA